CAGCCTCCTGGCAAGTGGGCAAGGGGCACGGCAAAGAGGCATCAGTCACTTCCATGAACAGAACACGGCCATGCGCCCACACCGAGCAGCGAACGTTCTGCAGCTGCGCATGCAGAAAAGGAAGTGCCTTGGACACAGTGCGCAAATCAAAATCATTATGTACCTCTGCAACTGGCAGGTGGGAGGTATTGCCCACGCTAGGCCTGTTCAAGTCAGTGCTAGCGAGCATCCGCATGTCAATAGACTTGTGCAATACTCGTGCCGTTTGTTGGGTCACTCACCGCCTGACCAAGGATGCAGGGCACACGGCCGCATGCCTGGGCCTCCGCACGGGCACAGGTCTGCCCAAAGAGGAAGCCAGGCCGGTGATGTGCATGGCATTGTCCGTGAAGGCGCCATCTGACCACACAAGGAGCGTCACCTGAGTCATAGTCAAAATCCGGTATTAAAATGGTCTACCCAGAACCATGTAAAGAATTAAGAAGGCGGCCGCAACTAATTATGGTTGGGATTGTCCCTTACTAACCTTCATCCACCCGGGTTTTGATTGTGGCTCACCTGAGGCTGAGGCCAGGTCAATCCAAACAGCGCAGAGCAAATGCGTGGGAGGATCTGACTTCGTATTGTTCTTGAAGGCATTTCATAGCCAGCTGACCCCCTGCGCTTGCGAACGACTCATCTCTTTGGGTGCCCTGCCACTTGCGGTCGGCATCGGCGTGTGGTCTCGGCGGCCATCTGCATCTGGTAGCCTCAGCTTCGCACGATGAGCCGCATCCCATGGTGTCACGCTGCGAAAAGCCCAAAACCAAATCTGCAAAGGGCTCGCAGTGCATTCTTGCAGCCGGCTGTCTAGGCGTTAGCAGATACTTTGTGCGGCATCGCTGCTGCACTGCTACACGCTCAAAGGGCGAGAGCACCTCGGGTGAACTGCACCCTCCGTGAAGAAAAAAACAACACTTGCATGAGTATGACGGACCCTATGGCGGACATCATTTTCATGAACCATTAGTTTGGAGGATGCTGCAATGCTATCCAGTCAAATTGCTCACCAACTTCGACCATGTCCAAACGATCAGCACACGCTGGCCGTCCCAAGAGCTGAAACTGCGATACCCCGCCTCGCAGGTTGGCATCGGGGCGGCCAGCGCGGCCGAGGGAAAAAGATCCTGACATTAAACACCCGGCGCAACCAATGGAGCCCGCGTGCCATGCCCGTTGAGCAACTAGTGACTGCGTAGTGCCTTTTTCTCAAGATTTGGGCGCTGAGCAAGCACAAAGGCCGAAGAAGAAACAAGGAGCCCAGAATCACTCCTGACTGCGCTGAACGGTCTGGATGTCGGCACCAGGTGGCAGGCCCTGCAGTGGAAAGATGTGGCCTGGCAGGTTGCATTGAGCCACAAAACGATGCGAATCCAACGCCGCAGCGCGGGATTTCAAGGCATGCATCATCAGCTCAACCGCTCAGCTTGCACCCATGGCCGGGCAACCCTTGGACAACACCCTGAAGCCATCGGGGCAAAACTGCAAGATGGGGCCTTCTGTGGTGAAGATGCTGGCGCCAATTGGCCATGGCAACGCGGCCGCCAGATCCTCAGCCCGGAGGAAAGACATGTCGTAGGTGTGACCGCCACAAACTGAGCGCGGCTGAGCAGCTTCTGGCGGTGCAACAGCCAGGTACAGGTACACCAGCGTCTCAGACAGGAAGAAAGAATCCATCCTGTTGTCGAGCCTCGCCGGTGCCAAGCCATAGAGGGCCCCTGACAACCCCTTCGATGACATGATTCAAGGATTATGGCAAAAGCAAAGAACCGCAAGCGTCTTGCCCCCTTCTGATTGTTTAAGACCTGGCCACCGCCTGAAAAATCATGCTTTCGTACCATCCGTGTCTTCTATTTGACCATGTCGTGCTATTGTATGGGATGACAGGGCACTGAAGCATCTGATCTTGCGCCGTGTGATCAGTCAATTTGGCAAACCAGCTATCTTGGGCAGCCTTGCGTTCTCTGTGGTTTCTCCGCTACATCTTCTGCTAGCGCCAAAACTGCTGCTAGCTCCTGTTGCTTTGCTCTCCGGCTGTGCACTGAATGGCTGCTAGATAGGAGCCCAGCCCTGCCCCGCAAAAGACATGCGCCTTTTGGTGGTGACATCCGCCACCGACGCAAAGCCACACGCCACCCGGCTCTGTTCGTCGATGGCCGTCGCGATGGATTTGGACTGGGCACCAAATGCTGAATTCGATGACAGGCATCTATACTGTTCCCAAGCTCGCCTTCTTTTGGCCAAGTTAACATGAAGGTATTGAAAGAGAGACTTTACACAACAAGGGAAGGATCCCCCACAACCCCTCCCGCCATCTCGAAGACCATCGCATCCCCCGGCAGCGCCAGCGAGAGGTAGAAAATCGCTTCAATGAGCTCCGGTCGCAGCGGCGAGTCCCTGTCAAAACGACGCGAAACTTTGAAACACTCCGAATAAGCGAGACCGTGATTTCTTCTTGGCTAGCCTTTCATGCCTTTGACGCCTTCTGCATCTAGCACCTCGATAACTTGGCCAATGCAAAAGGGATGCGCCATGGCGCAGTGCGCGGCGAGCCTGGCTTGTGTAGGGCTCTCGGCGCGTGTGTCAAAGACTTCTGGCAATGCATCGTGCTTCTTCCACAGGCTGTACCTGCAGGCTATCAAAAAGCCAGACCAGGCCCTGTATCCGGGGGCAGGCCATTCTTGCAAGACAGCCTTCCCAATCCGTTGCTGCAACAGGCCTCCAAAAGGCTGCCCAAAGAAACAGAAAATTGAGCTCTGAAATACCGAGGTGCCAGTACAGGACAACAAAAACAAAAAAATAACACAACAATATAAGAACAAACAAAAAAAATAAATCCAAAAAACTAATTATCACAAAAAAAAAGAAAAAAAAAAATCCCCCCCAACCACTAAAAAAATAAAAAATCAAAAACAAAAAAAGCAGGACAGACCGCAAGCCACTGGCGACATCTCCGATGAGCACTTGCAGTGAGGCCCAAACGCACGCAAGCGGCGAGAGGTGCGTGTTCACCATCAAACCCTTGTTCATGTCCTTGCAATTCAAGTCTCTATTTTTCCCGGCTTTTCTGGCAGAAAAAACAATCTGCCGCCCGCACGAGCCCACCCCATGCAACGTCTCTCAAGCCGGAGGGCCGCCGTCCCTTTCTTGCCAAGGAGCCACCGTGTAGGTGAACCCTTCAAAGGTGTGGTGCTGCTCCACCTCGGCCAGTGGTGTGTCTTGTTAGGGAGCCTAAGAAACCAAAAGGAAACCACCAGTTCCATGTCGGGACCCGTGCCGCCGCATAGGCGCTGAGGAAGATGTCCAGCAGCTCCAGATCCTGGAACAGGATGTAGCCTTTCAGCAGGTACTCGAAGAAAGAATCCTGCCTCAGCCGGCGAAAACGGAAAAAAAAGAAACCCGGCCAAGCTGGCGGAAAAACTGAGCCTCGACTTTTAGAAGTGGCCGGCAAACCACTGGCTGGTATTGAATCTGGTGTACCACACCCAGTTTCTTGGGGTCTACGGTAGCCCCATGGCGACTGAGGGCGGGTCCCCGGTCCAGTGGTGCTCTTCTGGTCCACAAAGTTGCCCGTGTTGACATCGATGGAGGTGCCCACCAAGTCCAGCACATTGCGCCGACCTCGCGACCAAGGCGGAGGTCAGCCAAACAAGGTACCCCAAATCCAGATGTGTCACGCTCAAAGAATTGCCTTCCCCCAAGCGGGCATGGCACGTAAAGGTTCCGTCACCTACTCTTTCGTGGAAAAACTGGTTTGCCCGATGATGCTCCCGTACACTACTAAAAATTTGGACCAAGGCTCCTACCCCAGAGTGGCCAACCTGCAAAATGCTAACAGAGAAGTGCTTACTACTCAAAGGGGGCACATCGCATGGATCAATGAGGAGTTGATTAACTTTGGGTTGCTATGCTGTCGAAATCCAGGCTCATTCCAAAGAAGGTTTGTGGGGGTTCCCCTTCTACCTACTGTGGCTAAGAATCCATTACTTGCGCGGCGCATCTCAGACTGCAGCTGGTTTCTGAGCCGAGTCATATCTATCCGCATAGTTGAAGACACATAATACACATTCAAATCAATGCCTTCAATGCCGCTTTGACCCAGCAACTGCAATCGCAGAACCCCGTCTACTAGGATGGAAACGGGTCCAAAATCATCGCCAAGGCCAAGAAACCCCAGAAGGAGACCAGCGAGCGCTTCGCCGAGTGATAGAAGCGACTCTGCCCGGACAGCACGGACAACATGCCAAATTCCAGCAAGAAGGATCCAGCCTCGCATAGTTCTGCAGCGCAGCTTTCCGGCCAAGCAAACAATTGGCTAAACCAAGCTTTGAACCCTTGGTGCCTACCGGTCTGCACAGATTCATACAAATCGCCAGCCCCGGCCTCTGCAATGGTCACCGTGGAGGAGGAACCCTGAGCCAACGCCGAAGCTGACGAGTCAACGCCGAAGCTGACACAAAACACTCTGCTGCACTAATCGCTGTACCTCACCAACGTCTGCCTCAGAAAGTCCGCCAGCCATGCAAGCTTGCTTTGACGTTCGCATGTGTTTGATGGGCCTTTGCGGGTGAGCGCGGATAACCCCCATGTGAGCTTGCTTCGATAAGTGTGTTTGATGGACCTTCATGGGTGAGCTTGGTCTACCCCATGCGAGCTTGCCTTGTTGGGTGCAGGTTTCCCATGCCAGCTTGCTTTCATGAGTACATGTGTGATGGTCCTTCACGGGTCAGCTTCGTTTCCCCCCATGTGAGCTTGCTTTGGTGAGTGCATGTTTGATGGACCTTCATGGCCCAGCTTGGTTTACCCCTAATTACGTGCTCTCTCACTATGGCATAGTCCAGGCACCTTGGGAATGCCAGACTGCAGATTCACCCGCGAGCGTGGCATGCCCGTGGGCGTGTCGAATGCCCGCAGCAGGCGGTCTCCCAAGTCGAGCGCCTCACGGGCAAAGGTTGCTCAAGGGTCGAAACAATTGCTTGCTTCCTACGTAAGAATTGACATACCCTGCCTGTGAGGAACGTATGAACATGGTTGTTGGGTATGCTTACTGGTTGGGGGTGTCCATTTGGGCACCAACAAGGTCATGCCTTGGAAACTGAGTTGCCCCATGGCCGCAAAGAACCACACGCAAGCCCTGCGCAGCCCTACCCGCCGAGTTTGATTTGGCTGGTTGCTGGCCTTGTCCAACAGTCCCCCCTTGTACCGCGGAAGCAGTTTCACCGCATGTTGGTGTCCGCTCAACAGACCACCAAGGATGCCTTGGCTTGAGAACGGGCTGGTCGCCAATCGCAAGTGATCTTGCCGGCAGGCTTGAACATTGTGCATGGCAATCGCAAAACCTTGGCCCAGGTGCGGATGTTCACCTCGAAGGTGCTCACTTCAATATCTTTGTTGAAGTGCACATTGTCACCAATGTAAGAAACTGCTACCTGGCAAGCGGGGCCGCGAAGGGATCACAGGCCTCATGCTGAAACATGCTGAAACTACATGGTCCCCAAGGCATAATGATGCGGATGTTGCCCATTAAGTTCATAGCCACAAAGGAGCATGCCCCAAGTTCCTCGTCCAGTGGCAAGTGGCACACACCTCCACTGTACTGCCGGCCAATCTAGCCTTGGGTGCCTTAGGATGCACGGGACTCGCCTTAAAGGCTGTCTTGCGCTTGAAAATCACCAGCGAGTCCAGAGCGTCAATGAGGGTCCTCAATGCGAAGGGGAGGACACAAAACTGCGGACCCCTGCAGTTGTTTTTTTCAACAGGTTTCCCTTTGCAGCAGCTCGAACCTGGGTACCGACAAAAGAAACACCCACGTTTCAGTCCCAAACCCTCTCGCCCGTCGGCCGAGGGGCATGGAGTAGTTCCCCAGCATTGCGTCGAGGTCCCCGCGCTCCCGCTTGAGACGGCCATCGCAGGTCAGAGGCCGCAGCTCATCTGCCGGGAAGGCGTGGGTCATGTAGGAGTCCTTGGCCCAAAGCCCCTGGCTCCCAGTGGAAAACATGCGAACACCCCCCCCTTCGCACATTGGAGCCACGGAGTCACCTGGTGTAAACGCGGAAGCGGCAGGTCAGACCAACAAGCATGCCCTGCTTGTTCTGGAGCATCTGCAAGCGACCGACACTTGCCGTTTCGCCCTGACGGCTGCAAATGTAGAAACAAGCTTTACTCTGATGCTTGACTGAATCAGGCATCAGGGCTCTCGGGCACTGCCCATAGGTTCCGAGCTCAGCAAATACTGGCCAAGCTTCAAAGGCGTGCTTGTACATCTCCTGCACCTGGCAGTGGTCGCACCACATGTTCAAATATCCCACGCACGCCAATACACAATATAGAGCCCCGATGCCCCTGTCCATATCTCTTCCAACGAATCTGGAGTGAGGGGTCCTCTCCACGGGACCGTCGCCTTCTGCACGGCAGAATTCCGCTCGTGCCGCGGCACCGGCCCCGCCCATGCCGGCAGAAGCGGCGCAAGTGCCCAGAGCCGCATGGAGAGAAGCCAGCCAAGGCCATGGGCGGCAAGAAAAGGGAAATGAAAGGCGACTTTTGAAAAACTAAGATGAGTGAAAGGTAAAATGCCCAAAGCACTGGTCAAACTTTGGGGCAAACAAGTTGACAGGCTCAAGGCTCATGCTCGAGGAACACCGCAGGCAAACCTGGGTTCAGTGGGGCTACGTGTTTGCCAAGTGCATGCATACTGCAAAGTCGCCAAAGGGCTCTCTGGCAAAGGTGACGTGGCAACCAACTTCTGAAAGTCTGAAGGGTACTCGGCGATCACCTATGCTCTGTCAGGCTAGAATCTCATTGGCGCTGCGTGCCGTAGGCGTCAATTTGAGCCAATGCGGGGAACGGACCATGTCCATCAAGCAACAAATGTTCCACCCTTCACTCGGGCCCTGCTATGGCTTCTCACGTTCAAATGCCTCTCCAGTCAGCCCAATCTGCACCTCGCCACACGCAGCCAGTTTCTCCTTGCGACGGACCTTCGTCAAAGCATCCACCTAAGCACAGACTGTACTTGCACGGCTGGAATCTGGCAACAACAGTTGCTGTTGCGACTGGCGTCAGTATTTGACCATCAAACTCCCCCCTCAATCCTCAGGTACATGACCACAACAACCCCTAAGACTTCAAGAGTTGGGCTCAGTATGAAGGGGGCCACTGCAGCACAAGATGCACAAAGACTTTGTGGAGCAGCGACTGAGCTCCCCGCGTCTTGGATCTGCAGTTCAGGCCTCACCCCTTTGAGGTGCTGCCACATGTGAAGACTGCGGAATTAGGTGAGACACGTGTGAGTGCTGAAGCATGGGCCCCGCAAGAAGCAAAAAGTGAGCCCAATGTGGAAACTAATAATGCGACAGCATCTCAAGCACGACATTGGTTGCATTTTGCCACGGCAAGCAGGCATCCATCCGCTAGCACAACACATTCGTTGGCGCCATGCTCTGCCGTAGCACGTGCTGATCTTCTTAAGCACGCTAAGCTTTGCAACGATCTACGATGACAAGTGCCCTGCGGACATGTTGAGGGCGCTGACAAGCCCAACCAAGGGACTAAGCCCGAGTTGGCGTGTAGATTTCCAACTGGAACAGCAGGCACACTCTGTTCAATCAAAGCATGCTGGTGGGTGTCCATTGGCCTAAATTCAACGCATGGCCAGCAAGCCAAGTTGGAAACCTAGACGTCAGAGCTACAAGGCCAGGTGCTGCGAATGCCATTTCTCGGCAGCACTTCTGGTCATCACTGGCTTCTGAAGGCAACGGGCACAACGCACGCATCTAACTGGCCTCCCTTTTTGGGTCTAGGGACACTCTTGGCGCAATTAACCTTCTGAAGTCAGCCTGTTGGCGCGCCGGTTCAGCAATTTTCCGGCATCGGAAAGGATTGTTACACAGCAGACCAGCAAAGCAAACTAGCTACAGTACAGGGGTCTGTCAAAGTCATGCCTGATCATCCATTCATGGAATCTTCGGGAATTCCACAGGAGGTGTGTCCTGTGCGCACATGTTTCCATCAGTGACTGATGTTGTGCGTGGCTTCAAACCCCGACGTCTGTCTCCATTACACTAGAATTCGGGCATGACTCTGGGAGGGTAAAGCTGGCACCTAAGGAAAAGAAATACTGCCATCTTTGGCTGCAATTCTGGCCAGCCCGCCTGCCAACATCCAGGCAGGCGAGCTTCCCGCTCGCATTTCGGCGTCCTTGGCACAACGGCAGGAGAGGCGTTGCCTGCAACATGACATGACCCACGGCACAAAGCATTTGGCTTCAACTTGGCTATGTCAAAAGCAAATACAAGCTGTTCAAAATTGTGCCCCAAGCAATGGAAAAAGATCCCAAATGTTGGCACGTGTTGGGCATGGTTCCTTGTTTGCTTCGCCTCGTTGGGGCCATCGCTGCTGTTACACTGCGCCGTAGTTGCTGGTTGTTTTGCCAAAAGTGACCACATTTTGCCAACTGCCTACCAGACTACAAGGTCATGCAACCACCTGGAGCTGCCAGTCAGCTGCCAAGCTGCTATCAGACTCGGAAATTGGGCAGCGCTCACGAACTCTCACGTGGCGTCTGTTGATCACCTTAGCCAACAAACCGGTGATCCTCTTGCCTTCATAATCTGTGCATGCGCTGGCTATGGCAGCACTTGGTTCGGCCATGCCGCTGGCCAGAGCGCCTGGCAGCTCAACTGGCATACCTAAGCTTGCACTGAACCAGTCGTCATTTCGCGCTGCACTGCCTTATTGCCAAGTGCACAGCCACTGCTTCTAGGGGCATTGGACTGCGGCCCAGGTGCTTGACGATGTTCCGCCTGTCAGGGCTCTTTCTAAATGTCCTGTGACCCAAAAAGCCACGCTCCAACTAGCTCCTGCCTTTGGGAATAGCAGGCGGCTGCAGGGGCACCTGCTTCGGCACGGACATGGATAGCCTCAGCATTCTGGAAACTTGCAGGAACGTGCCACCTTGCCGGCCTGGGTTCAGCCAAGTTGCTGTGACCCCGACCCCAGCGAGGGGGGTGTCAGCGCGGAGTTTCGCTCTGCCGTCATCTCCGGTGGTGGAGGCGGCTGGGTGCCGTCGGAATTCGCCTTGAACCACAGCAAACCGCGCATTTACCGGGCAAAGCGGGAAACGCAAATGCATCCAACGCATCCAAGGGACGGATCTCCTCAAGGGAGGTTGCAAGTCATAGAGGTCATGGGGGTTTGAGGACCCCCTGCTGGGTGGCACTGGCGGCGTAGGCGGCGTGGCCTTGCTGGAGTTGCTGCCACGCCTATCGATCGGTGGCCGCGGAGGCGGCAGGGGCAGCTGATTTTGCACCCTCCTCGGCGGAGGAGGCGGTGGCGCGTCCTTGGGCGTAGAAGGAACTGTTGAAACGGCGTTGACGGCACTGGCCGTTGCAAAGTCATTGGCCCAGTCAGAGAATGCCTGGTCCACGCGCACGTCAATTCGCTCCGCATTGGTCAAAGCCGGCGGCAGCGCCGCCAAAGCTGCTGGGCGGACGCTGGACTCGCGAGAACGTGGCGGGGGCTTTGGAGGCGGCATAAGGACCGTGCTGACTGGCGGTCGCTTGGGTGGGGGAGGTGGAGGGCTGCTCGGGCGGGATTCCGGTGAGTCAGCAATGCCGGGCACGCCTGTCCCTACAATGTCTCGAAGTTCCTGCGCAAAGTTCTGGAAGTACTCCTCCTTCTCCGCAACAGGCTTTGGCAAAGAAAACCTTGGGGGAATGTTGGGTGGAGTCCCAGGGCCTGGCCGTCCCCCAAGGGAAGAGCTGCGCACCACTGCAGTTTGCTGCCCCTCCTGTTCCTTCTTGGCCAGGTCGGTGGCCCAGTCCCAGAAGTGGTCTTCGGCGTCTTGCTGGGTGTGCCGATCTTCCGTGGCAGAAGGCTGGCCGGGCTTTTCGTCCCAAGCGCGCGTTGGCTCTGTGCCCGGGCCTGTGGGCCCGGAGGGCTCAATGTCCACTCGCTTGGACTTCCAGGTGAGGGCCTCCTGCAACTTCTGACACGACATACTGGGCATCTCCACCTTGATCGGCTCCACGTTGCCCTGCCAACACTGCCAGGCGATCAGACCGCAAACGACGAAGAGAGCAACGCCAGCCATCGACATCCCAACCACGATGCCGGTGTCCGGCGGAGCGTCCTCCACGACCGGCGCCACTGTGCTCCTGCTGGCAGGCATTCTGTGTGTTTGGGTGCGTGCGTGGGTGTGCGGGTGGGTGGGTTGGTGTGCGTGGAAAGGTGTGTCCGTATGTGTGCGTGTGCATAAATGTGCATGTGCGCACGTGCACGCGCACGCACGTGCGCGTTTGCGTGTTGTCGCGCGCACGCCACCGCGCATGCGTGCGTGCCTGCGAGTGCGCGTGCGTGGCCTGTGTTTGTGCCAGTGCCTGCGTTTGTGGCACAGGCAGCAAGCGCGTCGCTCTTAAGGTTCAGTCATAGATCCGTGGCGCAATCCCCCACGCGCCCAAAATCGTTAATCCGGATTGCCTAGTACGGGGAAGTACAGCCGCCCACGCACGTCTCGCTCGGGAGTACCTGTGCCTGGCGGTACAACTGCGCACGCACATCTCGCTCAAAAGCGCCCGTGCCTGGCAAGTACACGGGCACACGCGCATCTCGCCACACACACACACACACCGGCGCTGCCCCTCTGGCCGTTGCAAAGCGGCGCAGCTGCCCCCGCGCCGTTGCGAAGGGGCGGACTATCGCTCAGGTTTTTGGGCATGGTAACCTTAAACTTGAGCTTGAAATTCTTACGGTTGAGATATCTTAGGGCGACGCTGAAACCGTGCTAAGGAGTAACGCAGATCCCTCTTGATTCAAAAACGATCGCTTCGCTGAGGCCAAAACGCGATGGGATAACATTTGGCGAGCCCCCTTGCGTGCTGCTGCTGCTGTTGCTGTTGTTGCTGTCGCTGTTGTTGTTTGTTTGTTTGTTTGCTTCTTTGTTTGTTTGCTTGATTGCTTGGTTTGTTTTGTGTTGTTTTGTTTTGTTTGCTTGCTTGCTTGCTTGATTGCTTGTTTCTTTCTGATTTTCTTTCTTTCTTTCTTTCTTTCTTTCTTTCTTCATTTCTTTCTTTCTTCATTTCTTTCTTTCTTTCTTTCTTTCTTCCTTTCTTTCTTTTTTTCTTTCTTTCTTTTTTGTCCTTTGTTTGTTTATTTGCTTATGTGTGTTTGATTGTTTAATTGTTTGTTGGATTGTTTGCTAGCTTGTTTGTTTGCTGTTGTTTGTTTGTTTGCTTGTTGGTTTGTTTGTCTATTTGCTTGATTGTTT